GTTGATGGCAACCATGAACAGGAAAAGTGAGTAAAGGAAATGGATGGATGACTAAAACAAAGATGGTCCACATAATCATTTACACTGCCCCAACGATAGAGCCTCACTCTCCTCCGCAGGTGTTTCACAAATATTCACACTTTGAATTGTGATCAAGAAATCTGCCATTGATTGAGCTGGATACAAACCCGCAAGTGATGATGACCCAAATGACCCCCGTGATAGGCAGGTGGCAAACACATGTGACTTTAATGTATTTTAAAATGTGGACAGCATTTTATCAGCCTAAAACTCTTTTGAGATGGCCTTTTGGGGAAGTGGAAAAACATCTTCAAGCTCCATTTTTTCTAGCGACAAGAATGCTTTGTCTTACTCCAGTCACATCTTTTGACGGCCTTTTGCAGACCCGGCTCTAGACAAATTTATCGGGGGGAATATATAGATATAGATAATAGGCATACCCCAAACGTAAAGAATGATTAAAGAAAAAAATAAAATAAAATAAATGACTTTACTTCATTCACATTATGTAACCAAAATTGTCGTTTTATTTTAATTTGCTCAAAAAGAACCAGTGTGAACAGAGGAGACGTCGCAGTCATTTGAAGAGTTATTTGAATTAGATGAAAACAAGCAATCACAAATGTAACGTTTTTACATTATTCAGCATTATAAACTTAAACATGAAAAAAAGAAAAAGTGTTGGGATTAAAAGTGCACAGAGTAAACAGAGACCTTATAAAGCACTGCTTGTTTGATAAATTAGGTCAGTCTTGTTCAGACTGATTAAATATTTTGCAACAGGTCAATTCAATTTAGTTTATTTTATAAAATAACTTAAATTTAATAAATGAGGTAATTCTCAGCAACTAAAAGGCAGGCACGTTAATGCAGCCCACCACCAAAGGGTACAAACACATTTTTGCCTGTATATGTGCGTTACCAAAATATCTCATGAACCACTGAACATATTTCCATAAAGCACTCGCATATCATTGCAAGTTGCATGTTATCTATGTGTACCTTTTTGTGCAATTCAAATTTTAAAAAAATGGACACCACAGCTAAGCATTCTCAGCAGAAACAGAACATTTAAATCACTTAGTCAAAGTTTGATTTTATCTGTTGATAATCTCAACAAATACTTTGACTGTTAATTGTGTAAAATGTTACAATTTAGCGAGATATTGCACATTTTTTTAGACTCAATCATAATTCAAGCAGCAAACTTTGTATATGGTATGAATTTCATTAAGAAATGCTAGATGTACATTTGTAAAGCAACGGTATATACCGGTACCTATTTCAGTCCAAGAACTTGTCATGAGACACTGATGGAATATTTGCTCCATCACACTGAGGAACACATCCTCACTGCCACAACATGTCCTCCATACTGCACTTGGTGTCTGTATTTACACCTGGACATGCCACATCACATCCATCCTCATCTCCTTCACAAGCTCTGACTTTCTGCCCAATTTCTCATTATCGCCCATCCAGCCTACATCTCTATTCACCTTCGTTTTTTTTTTTCTTCCCATTTCTCGTTCCTACTCATTGTCCTTTCAGAATCTAAAAGTCTGACAGCTGCCCACAAAAATAAAAATAAAACCCCATGTCTCCCTCCACCTTTCTCTTCCTCAGGTAGGACTGGGTATACTCCTTTATTTATCCAGACTTGTCTTTCACTGGGGGATATATTTATTGTCCGCATCACTTCTTTTTGCCTCATGCGCCGTCAGAAAAATAGAGAAACTGACAGGAAGGACAGCCTAAAATGTAAAGAAGGGAGAAGAAAAAAGGAAAATACAGGCTGTATATATTTATCCATTGTTTTATGTGAACAAGACTATAGAACTAGACAAATTAAAAAAATGACTGACATAAATGAGTCATATAAGTGTTCATGATGAATGATGATAATGAAAAAGTCTGCTACATCATGATGCCACACAAATCAACTTGTCACACACTGACAAGCTCTTAACATGAATTTAGTTGACATTCTGCAAAGTCATACTGACTGAAACAAGTAGCCAAGCGTTAAGGCCAAGACTGTCTTCTGTCTGTACATACTGAGTTTTAAAAATATTGAATTTTCAAATCTATGCCATCATTAAAGCAGGTTAGATAATATACATATATGTGTATATATACACACACATATACATATATATATATATGTATATATATATATATATATATATATATATACACATATATAC